TTGTTACGCGGCAGTCCGATACTATACGCTGCAGCCACGTCCCATGAGCAGGTGGAGAAGGGAGAATGAGACACCACTGGGGTGGTGGTTGGCTCCCGGGGTGGTGCCTGGGAACAGGCCAGTTCCCTCTGCTCCTGTCTCAGTCACACCCACTTCCAGTGTCTGGGGCTGTTGGCAGCCCCGATGGTCCAGAGCTCCCAGGGCCAGCTGGTCCCGGACCGTGTCCCAGGCACAACCGTCCTATTTAATCCCCCCAACGAGCCTATGAGTGAGGTGCTGTTAATATCTCCATTTTACAGATGGGGAAACTGAGGCCCAGAGAGGGAGTCACTTCGCCCAAATCCACACAGCTACACAACAGAGGAGGTAGGGCCTTCTCAGATAGATGATTGGCAAATATATTATTTTCTTCTTTAAGAAGTCCCTGGAATAGCCGAACTGGTTTGGCTCAGTGGATAGAGCGTCGGCCTGCGGACTCAAGGGTCCCAGGTTCGATTCCGGTCAAGGGCATGTGCCTTGGTTGTGGGCACATCCCCAGTAGGGGGTGTGCAGGAGGCAGCTGATCAATGTTTCTCTCTCATGGATGTTTCTAACTCTCTATCCCTCTCCCTTCCTCTCTGTAAAAAATCAATAAAATATATTAAAAAAAAAAAAAAGAAGAAGTCCCTGGAATAGTTCTTGTCATACTGGTTTGGTGGTGATGAACCCCTTTAGCTTTCTCTTTTCTGAAAGCCTCAATTTAATCGTGTTTTTATTTTTAAAATATATTTTATTGATTTTACAGAGAGGAAGGGAGAGGGATAGAGAGTTAGAAACATTGATGAGAGAGAAACATCCATCAGCTGCCTCTTGCACGCCCCCTACTGGGGATCAAGCCCGAAATCAAGTTACATGCCCTTGACCAGAATCAAACCCAGGACCCTTCAGTTCACCGGCCGATGCTCTATCCACGGAGCCAAACCCGTCAGGGCCTCAATTTAATCTTTTCTTTTAAATATGTTTTTATTAATTTCAGAGAGGAAGGGAGAGAGAAGCATCAATGAGAGGGAATTATTGATTGGCTGCCTCCCGCATGCCCCCTACTGGGGACTGAGCCCGCAACCCAGGCATGTGCCCTTGACCTGAATCGAACCTGGGACCCTTCAGTCCGCAGGACATCCACTGAGCCAAACCCGCTAGGGCTCAATTTAATCTTATTGTTGTTTTTTCTTATAACAAGGAAGTTAAGTACATAAGTGAATACTTTTTATCACCACTATTTTTATATGATACTAGGTGTTCCTGAATAGAACAGAATTGATTTTATTAATATTCTTGGTCATTCATTAACTTAGAATTGGTACTTAGCATTCACAATTAGTTAGACTAATCTGATTGTTTAGGGACTCATTATGGATAAGTTTTTGGTGTTGTTTTTTTGTGTTTTTTTAGAAACCAATAAAATGTTCATATCTAAATGCAATATTGTTGAACTTGATTAGCAAAATTAAAACATTTAGATTCAGAAAATCAAATTTGCAAAGTGGCTTTCGTACATGAACCCAAATATATTTCTGTGAATTTTTCAGGATCCTGATTACTAAATTAAATGGAAATTCACATTTTGGTTCTTGCACAGTTATTATTTCAAATGAAGAACATCCTGAAGCATGAATCTGGCTTGAAATATGTTGAAGAAAGTCAATTTTCTGAATCCATGAAGTCCCCTAAGGATTGAATAATTAAATGCATCCAATCTTTACAGATATCCATCTTCGCACACAACTGAACAACTTTTTGGAGAAAGCTAAACAATGACAAGGCAAACTCAGTTGTCAAAAATAGGAGCAATTTGCCCTAACCGGTTTGGCTCAGTGGATAGAGCGTCGGCCTGCGGACTCAAAGGTCCCAGGTTCGATTCCGGTCAAGGGCATGTACCTTGGTTGCGGGCACATCCCCAGTAGGGGGTGTGCAGGAGGCAGCTGATCGATGTTTCTCTCTCATCGATGTTTCTGACTCTCTTTCCCTCTCCCTTCTTCTCTGTAAAAAAATCAATAAAAAATATGTATATATAAAAAAAATAAGAGCAATTTTAAGCGCTTTCTACACTCCCCGCCTGGTCCCAAGCACTTTACATGTAAATCATTTTACCCTGTTTGGCCTTGGTGGGTGGGCCCTGTTTTATTTTAAAAACGAGAAAACGGAGGCTCAGAGCCGCAAACGCACTTCCCCAGGGCAGTGATGGCGAACCTTTTGAGCTCGGCGTGTCAGCATTTGGAAAAACCCTAACTTAACTCTGGTGCCGTGTCACATATAGAAACTTTTGGATCTTTGCAAACACAGTAAAACAAAGACTTATATTTTTGATATTTATTTTATATATTTCAATGCCATTTAACAAAGAAAAATCAACCAAAAAAATGAGTTCGCATGTCACCTCTGACACGCGTGTCATGGGTTCGCCATCGCTGGTCTAGGGAATTCTTTTCGTGAGAGATGATCTCTAACTAGGCAATGTAAGAGGGTTCCCTGACATGTGACGATGTGCACCCCCACATTCTCTTCTGTACCCTAAGTGTGGCCCGGTGACTGCATGCACAGCGGGGCTGTCCCCACGATGGGGACATGGGGTGGAGGGGGGAGGCGCAGGTTGAGGGGGGTGGGTAGAAGCTAAGCTCAGTTTGTGATGAAGGAAGAATTTCCCACGTCAGAGAAACCGCCGGGGCTTTGGGGGCTCGGATGGAAACTGAACCCCGGTTAGGACCCTGGCGCCCCTGAGTGGTGACATCACTGCAGATGACAGCCGAGGTCGTGTATTTGGCATTTTTATTTCAAAATTCCAGCAAGAAGAAGAAGAAGAAGAAGAAATCAACGGCAGCACTAGGGAGATCGGCCTGAGAACGGAGAGGTGCGGAGCCGGGGCCAGGGGGTGTCCCGGACCCGCGGCGCGGAGCAGCGGGGAACCGAGTCCCCAGGCCTGAGAGCGAGCGGGGCGAGGCGCCTGGCCCGGCCCCTATGGCTTTGGGAGTGTCGCGGCCACGAGGGGGCGCCCGAGACCCAGACGTCCCGGCCCCGGCCTGACGTTTGTATTGCACTTGAGGTGGAGTCATTGGTAGGGAGGTGAGGATCCGGCGGGGGCCTCGATGCTGCGAGCCGGTGGGTCCGGGTCCGAGGGCGGACGGGCCGTCTGCAGCGTCACACCCGGAGCGCCCACTCGTGAGGCTTTGCTCCGTACTGCGGGCGCAGAGGCAGAGCGTGAGGGGGGGCTGCCCCCGACGCTCCTAGGAAATGCCAGCAAGTAGGGGTGCGGGGGGCAATCATTGCAAAGGTGCGCAGAGGCTCAGGGAGAGGTAGTTCTGCAGAGGAGCCACTGTCAGGCCCCAAGGACCGGAGGGAAGGCCCGGGTATTGCAGCTCTAGGTCCCCATGCGCGGCTCACAGCTCCCGGGAAAAGGGGGCTCTGGGTGGGCCGCGTCCAACTGCGCCCAGGGGTTCGCAGGGAAGATCCCACGGCCCAGCGAGCGGAAATGCTCCCAGGGGGGTGACGAGAGGCAACAGTCCCGGCCACCGCGGGCCCAGAGGCTTGTGGGCGAGAGTCCTCAGGCCAAAGGGACAGCCCGGGGCTCCGGGGGCATCCGGGGGGAGTGGACTTCCCGGCTCCAGGTCCCAGAGGCTCCTGGGAAGAGGGTGCCCCCCACGGGAAGGACACCCGGGGCCGCAGAGGCTCAGGGAGAGGGTCGCCGAGCCCAGGAGGTGTCCCAGGCCACGGGCTGCAGGGCCCGGTCACCTCCTGGGACTTGGGGGAGGGCGGGCCCCTGGGCGGGAACCTCTGGGGAACCAGCCACCAGCCCCCTCCCAGCCAGTGCGCCTCACCTGGATGGCCTTCAGCTCCTTCTGGAAGCGGAGGATCAGCTCGGGCCCGTGGTCCATGGTGGGAATGTGGAGGTCCTGGAAAGACAGCGCCGTGAGGACGCAGGACGCGCCCCCCCCCACCCCCCGGCTCTCCCGCCTCCAGGGCAGCCACCTCACCTGGCCTTGGTACAGGACTCGATGCACAGGGCACACCTGGCAAGCGGTGCCCGAGCCGAAGACTTCCCGGACCCGCCCCTCCTCCAGCGCCCGCAGGAGCTCCTTCATGGTGATCTTCCGCTCCACCACGCGGAACTCACCCTGCAGGCCGAGGCGTAGCCGTGAGCAGAAAGGCCTGCCGCTCCCGCCCTAAGGATGGGGGGAAAGACGGAGGCCCAAGGGGGGAGACAGACACCCGAGGACCAGAGGAGGGGGACAGAGACAAGCCAGTGCGCCCCCCGCCCCCATGCCCCGCCCCGCCTCACCCAGGAGTGAGCCAGGTCCAGCAGGCTCTGCCTCACGACTCCCGGCAGGATGACACCCTCCAGCGGCGGGGTCACCAGCTCCAGCACTGGGTCAGGGGCAAGGATGGGGTGTCACCTCACACCCTCACGCCCCTCCGTCCTCTCCGTCACCACCCACCCCGGCCCCCGAGCCCCGCCCTCTGCTAGGACGGCTCCACCCCCTCCAGGGCTCCCGGGGGTGGTGGGTGGGCTCACCCCCGTCCTCGTGGGTCCAGTAGACGAAGATGTTCATGGTGCCCACCTCGGTGAGCTGGTGGTCGGGCCCGTACAGCCAGAGGACCTGCTCGCAGCCCTTCTTTTTCGCCTCCTGCTGCACAAACACTGTGGGCCCGTAGTTCCTGGGGGAGGACAGCGTGATCGCCGCGGGCAAGGGACCCAGCCTGGCCCCACCGCGGCGGGTCTTCCCACACCGGGACCCACCTGCTCCTCCCCGGCTCACAGCCCGCCCCTGGCTCCCCAGGACCCAGGACGGCTGCTGGGGGCCAAGGCTCTAAGACAGTGGTTCTCAACCTTCTGGCCCTTTCAATACAGTTCCTCATGCTGTGACCCAACCATAAAATCATTTCCGTTGCTACTTCATCGCTGTCATGTTGCTACTGTGATGAATCGTCATGTAAATATCTGATCTGCAGGATGGTCTTAGGCGACCCCTGTGAAAGGGTCATTCGACCGCCAAAGGGGTCGCGACCCACAGGTTGAGAACCGGTGCTCTAAGTAGTCCGTCCTCCCTTCTCCAGGTTACGAGTGCATCCTGTTTCCTTTTTGTTTTTTCTCTTTTTAAAAAATATATATTTTTTTTTATTGATTTTGGAGAGGAAGTCAGGGGGAGAGAGAGAGAGAAACATCAACGATGAGAGAGAATCATTGACGGGCTGCCTCCTGCACGCCCCCGACGCAGGATCCAGCCCACAGCCCGGGCCTGTGCCCTGACCGGGAATCGAACCGTGACCACCTGGTTCATAGGTCGATGCTCAACCGCTGAGCCACGCCGGCCGGGCCCTGATCCTTTTCTGGGATCACCTTCCTCATCCAACGGCCCAGTGTCCTTCAAAACCCCGTGATGGCACCTGCTCTCCGGGCGTTTCTGAACCTCCAGGCCGGTTGCAGGTCTCCTCTGCACGCCCCCCATAAACCGGGCCGCTCGGCGATTTCCCACGTCACTTTGTTTTAACACCGTCTCTCACCCAAAGCCCACCTCACCCACCACCTGCTCGCAGGCCTCCCGTGGCTCCCCATCACGGGGACAAGACCACATGCCCGGGTTGTGGGCTTGGTCCCCAGTGCGGGGCAGGCGGGGGCAGGAGGCAGCCGATCAATGCTGATGTCTCTCTCTCTCC